AAAAAACAACAAAAAAACCCTTCCTGCACTGATTCCCTGTCCCAACAGCTCACCGTCTTCCCTCGGGAAGGAACAGAAAGTTGGAGGCAGGGAGAGCACGGAGCGTGCGGCAACCCCGRCTGCTCCGGCCCCAGCAGCCGCGGRAGCTGCAGAGCAGGAGCTCAGCCCGGGAAGCGGTGCTGCCACATCCAGCTGGAAAAGCCGGCCCAAGAGAACAAGAGGATGTATTCTCCGAAGCCTGGGCCGGCCGYGCTCCAGGCCAAAGCCAACATGGGAGCGCTCCATCCGCGCGGCGCTCGTTTTGGGAGCCCCAGGACGCCCGGTGTTCGCCCAGCCCGTCTGCTGCTTGGCTGGGCCGCGCGCGCCTGGCAGCCAGCGAGCGCGGCGGGACGAGGCCCCTTTCGTGCCTGTCTGGCAACGGGCACCGTGGGGCTTTGCCTCTCGCTGCCAGCCTCCTGCCCGGGCATTTTCCCCTTTCACTCTGGGGCTTTCATGTCGTTCCCACATGTGAACCTCGGTGGGAATCGACTGCATGAGACAAGAGCAAAATTCCCAGTGCTGTGCAGCTGGAAAACTCCTGGGGCTCAAGGGAGCATGGTGCACACACATGTATACATGTGTGCACATACATGTATATACGTGGACATGCACCCCCAGCACCCTCTGGGAGCTCGCAGGCTGCCACCAGCAGAGCCTGACTGGTGTCACGGCACGCGGCTTGTCCCCACGGGGAACAAGAAACTGAGGCCTCCAACCAACTTTTCCACCCGCTTCTCCAGGGATGCTGCCCCATCCCAAGGCCCCACTCACAGGGTCCAGCACCCCCATGTTCCCCAGCCCCTCACAGCGCTCCCGGCCCTCCCGATCTGCTCAGATTCGGCCCACACGAGCGCGGCTGCCACAGCCCCGCGTGCCTGGCAGGGGTTCAGCAACCACCGAGGAGTTTGTGCCGCCAGCTGCCCCGGACCAGGCCGCGTGCACACGGAGCATGATGCCAGCGACCCCCCAGGCTGGGCACAACCGCCCTGGCGGCACATAACACCCACACACATCATGCCCTGCACACCCGCACACGCCGTGTCCTGCACATGCGCCATACCCTGCACACCCACTGTGCCCTGCACACCCACTGTGCCCTGCACACCCGCAACCACCATACCCTGCACACCCGCACGCGCCATGCCCTGCACGCCCACCGTGCCCTGCACGCCCGCTGTGCCGCGTCCTGCACACCCGCACGGCCACGCACACAGCCCGGCCTCAGGCAGCCCCCAGCCGTGCACAGGCCCCCCTCCTCGCCCCACACAAGCAGCCCCCAGCCCCAGCCACGTCCCGCCCCCCAGCCACGCACGCGTGTCCCTGGACGTGCACAGACACGCACCGAGCCGGGACCCCCTCCCTGCACCGGGACCGCGCACGCAGAGCCCGCACGGGCACCCCCTGCACCCCAGCCGGGCACCTCCCAACAAGGTCCCCCCCCAGACGGGCACCCCTGCTCCGCCGCGGTGCAAAGCCGCACACGGCGCCCTAAAAACTCCGCCCGCTCCCTGCCCGAGCCCCCCTGGCGCCCCCCGCTCCCTGCCCACGTACCTGGCGGCGGGGACGGCTCCGCGCGGCTCGGCCGGGGGCTGCTGCCGTCCTGGGACATCGGAGCGCGGCGCGGGGGCTGCGGCGGCGGCGAGAACGGGCTGAGCCCCCCGCACCTGCGCTGCGCGG